AGAGATGTGTATAAGAGACAGTAATAATGGAGTAAGATATTTTATTAAATTTATTATCATAAATGTGGCAATTTTTCTAAATTTTCAGATTTCGGGTGGGTTATATTTCGGGTGGGTTTTTCGCTGGATTAACCAGTATATAAGATTTATCTCCTAAAAAATTTAAACTCTAAAATATTTAACCCTTAAAAAATGTTTTAATAAATCACGTATCGCATCGCGGTTTTAATTAAAGATTTAATATTTTAAATTGAAATATGAGTAGGTAGGCAAATTTTTAGGAAAAAATATGGATAGGAAAAAATATGGATAGGTAGGAATACGGGTAGGTAGGATACAACACTGTTAAATCTATAGTGTCAAATTTAATCCAAATTTGGATTAAATTAAATTGTTTTATTTAAAAATATAACTATATTGTTTTAGTTAAAAATAATTATTTATTAAGTAGGAACAGTGGCTTAAGTAAGGTTCAATTTTACATTATATTATATTTACACTATAGATTTAACAGTGAAGGGGGAGTTTTTAGGTCGGTAGGCTATGTCGGATAGTATCTTTCGCGATGTATCCGACATAGAATCCGCCTCGCCTACGGAACCGGGCCGTAGGTGTCTTCCCCTCATGGTGGAACGAGGACGAATCGTTCCTCCATGAAGGGCTTGTGAAGATTTTCTCCTCCTACGCAAAACAAAAAACAAAAAGGTAGGTATGCGAGTAGGTAGGAATTCGGGCAGGTAAGGATAGGGGGATATAACTCGATAATTGTGGATATCGCAAATAAAATATAAATGTTAATAACGTAAAAAAATATAATTATACTTATTATTATTGTTATATTGAATACAGGTAGTTAGGGACAAGAGGGCATAATTCAATAATTGTAAATATCGCGAACTAAATAAAAATCATAGCATCTTAAATATAACAATAATAAATATAATTACATAAAATAATATATATTTTAATTTTCAATGTAATAATAATAAATATATAACTATTTATTATTATTATTATATTTTTACAATTTTTTGTTTGTTATCTTAATTGTTTTTCTATAAATACTTTGTACTACTTCATATACTTATGTAATAATTTGTAAATTAAACAACAAAAAATAAAAAACAAAAAACGAGCACACATTTCAGAGGACCGCCGATTAAAGTCGGCGGGGGTGGTGGAGGGCCTCTACAGGTTGATCTAATTTTACCAAATAAAATTTTAGTTTTAGAGGTTTTAGAAAGTTTCAAATATAAAAATCAATATTTTAATCATAAAAGAATGCAAAGTCAAATTAATTCAAAATGTATTTAATTGCAATGATTATTCGGTAAAAGTGGAGCAACCTTATTAAAATAAGAGAACCGCCGATTAAAATCAGCAGTGGGAGAACCTCTACAAATTAATTTGCTTTGATAGAATAAATATTCGATAAAAACGGAGCAACGAAAAATTTAATAAGAATTAGTAAGAAAAGATTGAGTTAATATATCACGGTAGAGTTTGAATTTTATTTCTGGAATATATTGTATTGGATAATATTGATAAATGGCTAAAAATATAATACATAAAATAATGACCAGCCAACTCATCTGATCTGTATTTTGACTTTTTGTCTGACAATTTCTTATTTGAGAAAGCGCAGAAATATTGTACTTTGTTAGATCGCCAAGATTCGATATTCCAGAAAACCGCTGATTGACTGAAGATTAGGAATGTAGGAAGGTAATAATTTAAGTAATCATTGATATAGTTAAAATAATAAGATTTAATTTTCATTTTATAAAAATACATATCTCTCTCATACATATGCACACATACAAAATATTATATTATTTAATGTGCAATTATAAGATGTATAATAACATAAGGTAATGCGTTAGCAATGCTGCTAGTAGTGCCTATCCGTAAGCGCAAAATGTAGGAATGACATAAAAGACAATTACGATAAATGCGAAAATAATATATAAGATGTTGCAATATAAAAATGACGCGGTTAAAAATAACTATACGCATAACAATATATATTAAAAACAGAACGAACGAATACAAAGTACAATGATTAATATAAAGATGAGCAAAAAAATATTCTTGCATATTTTATTGTATGTACATATAAACACATACGTTTTTCATACGTTTTACTTCAAGCTCGCGTTTTTATTAAATTTTGAATTCTTAAATTGAAAATATTTTGTTATTTGTTCGTATAAGAAAATTCTAAGTTAAATAATATAATATATAATATAATATAATATACAATATAATATACAATATAATATAATACAATATAATATACAATATAATATATATAATAAATTAAAAAGAAATGCCAGATAGTATATAAAATTGTATTTGAAAAGATTTATATTACTTTTAGACTTTCATCAAGAAATATTTAAGACAACTTTATTATTATTATTATAATTACATGGTTATATTTTATACATATAAGTTATATAAATATACTATATAGTATATAATATAAGTTATATATACTATATAGTATATAATATAACCAAACAATATACATATGACACAGAACAAAATCGAAGACTGTGTTACTCGCCGGAAATATTCGTAATCTGAGAGAGGACATTCGTGAGAAGATTTTCGACTGCGTAATTTTTCGAAAATAAAGCCCCAGCACTGTCTCGAAAAGTGGATCTAGCACAGACGCGAACCAAATAATGATTTACCAACATTCTCGAGAAGTGGATCTAGCACGGACACGCACCACAAATTGTATTACCCGAGCAGAAAAGTCCATTTTGCTATGTAATTTGGATCCACTTCTTCAGAGGGCGATAGTGCGCGAGGGCATATTAGCGTTACAGTCAAAAGGCCGCTCTCGGATCCTCTCTGGTTTTACCCACCGGAAATATTCGTGGTTACACAGTTCGTTCAATGTGCACGCTTTGTATGTACATACGCATAGAGGCGCCAATAGACCAGGTACCATTTAAAACGCGGACACATCACTCGCAGATTTATCTCTGCTCGACACTGAAAAAATATCCAAACTAGATGTTAAGGAAAAAAGATTTACTAATTGAAGAAGGAAAGGTAAAGGAAAATGAAAGAAAGAATGATCGCGTTTTCCCAAACACTTTATTATATATAGATGCATACTTATTGATAGAGGCGCATTCAAGAAATATATATATATATACTAAATTAATTTCAATAACGTATTGATATCTATGATGGTCACTCTCGCAGTATATCTCGAATTTGAAAAAGAGACGCAAAGAGACTTGTATTAAGAACATGATACCAGAAATTGCTCCGAGATCTCGGACGCGGAGAAAGAATTAAATCACATTTGAACAATTCGGCTAATAATATAATGCGTTTGGTCAGAAATGTTTCTCCGCGTCCGAGATCTCGGAGCGATTTCTATAGCGTAATGGACATAAGGCTTTACAATAATGTCATATAGATATCGATGAGAGAGAGAGAGCTAATTACGCCTGAGCGTTTAATCTCGGAAAACATATTGAAGTGAAGCGAAATAGTACACATATATAATAATGGCACGTAACCACCGCCGTTATACCAAATACATACGAGGATATGATCGCAAAAAGCTGCCAGTGGCGGCACACAGCGGCGTGCAGCGGCATCAGCGAGTCAACGAGCTGTACGTCCGTGGCGCGAAGGTAACGCGGAACGAACGTCGCTCGTCCGCCGCGTGTAACATTACATATCTTTCAAACGGATTCGCGCTGCGATCGCAGATACCGCGCTGGCAGGGGGAGAGGGGTGGGAATGGAAAGATACATCGCTCCGAAATCGTACGCGCTCGCGAGTATAAATCCGGTCAAGCGGGCGCCTGTGCGCGAGCGGATGTACCAATCGCGCGAGCGCCACGCGGATCGAACGGCAGGCGCGATCACGTGCCAGCTGGAGAGCGTGATAACTGTCAATGGACGATCGGTCGGCCAATCGCAGGCGCGCCGCGGGTGACCCGACAACGTCGCTCGCTGGGATCGCACGAACACTGGACACGACAGTCGTCGCTCGGCTGTTCTTTCGTACTCGGGTAGCAGAGCGGGGTCGTCGCGCGCGTCTCTGACTTGCTCTGGCTCTGACAGTGTCGGGTAAAGACTGCCGTGTGTGATTGTCCACGAGGGCCCGTTCGGGGCCCCCTCCGAATTCCCCCTCCTGCCCCTCTCGAGAAGTCGACTTAACTTCGTGCGAGAATCGTTCGCGTTTGATTAAAGTAAACCACGATGACACATCGTTCGGTAACGTCGTCGTCAACGAGCGTTCCTGAGACAAATGCGGCAACGGCGATCGAGACGATAATAACGACAGCGTTACAACAGCGTGCTCGTTTACCACGATAGTGCGTTGCCGTCCAACGGGAAGGAGAGAGTGAGAGAGAGAGAGAGAGAGAAAGAGATAGTGTCGGATTCTCGTTCTCGATGCGGATGCGTCGCGTCGTGCACTTTAAACGAGCCCGATCAGGTTCCAGGAAGCGCGTAGGAGAGAGATACTTCGTCGTCGCGCGCGAGGAGAGAGAAAAGGAGAACGCGACTGTCGAAAGGATATAAGCGAATCCAAAATTGATCGCAACATATATACGTATATTGGCGCGACGCGGGGAAAGCGAGAGAAAGATAGCAAGAGCGAGCGAGCAAGAGAGAGGGAAAAAAGAACAGGGTTACAAGGCGGGCGCCATTCGGAAGTAACAGTGTCAAAGCACTCGGGCCGTTCGTAAGTTTCCTTTGGAGTGGCGGACCCCGTCCGTCGGTGCGCCGCCGCCGCCGCCGCCGCGCAACGGCATCTAGAACTCGTGCGATGGGACGTGAGTGGTGAGCGCGCCGTATCGTCGTCAGCGCGCGTCGTCAACGTGCGTGAAGTGGCCCCCGGAGTGCGCGGAGAGTGTGCGAAGGAGCCAGACAGACGGGCCCGACAGGCCAGGCTGTGTGTCGCGCTTGGCGCGCGAGCGTGCTCAACTCGGGGCCTCCGCCAACCCGTCTCCGTCCACAACCCAGTTGTCCCCCAGAGCCCCTACGGGCGCGCCTTCTCGCTTGTGCCTTCGTGGCGTGAGCGCGACCGCGGCCGTCGCCGCCGCTGCTGCTGCTGCTGCTGCTCGGGTTTGCCTGTTCCGCGCTGTAGCGGATAGCGGAGTTTTCACTGCGGCGCGTGCGAGACACATTCCGCAATACGAGTGTGCGAGAGAACGACGGACGGACGCGACCGGCCCACCGTATCGTCGTGCCGGAGCGAATCGCATCCACGGGGGGGAACTGTGCAAAGAAGAAAAAAATATATTCCCAAGATAATGGAGAGACCTGCGTGTATCGTCGTGGACCCGAAGTGATCGGTTGCGAATTTTTCCGTGTGTATATCTCTACGGGGAAGAGACAGGAGAGAAGGTGGCGGAACGGAAGAAGGAAGAGGAGGCAGCAGCGAGTGAAATAGAGAGAGCGCGAGCGAAAGACAGATCAGGTTAGGCTGAACTCACGTTCCTCCTCCCCCCCCTCCCTTCCTCTGCTGCGGCACCAGGGCGCTCCATCTCGCTTCGATGTGCACGCCCGTTTCCATCTGACTTGTGCACGCTCGTGGGACGAGGACGGCATGACGGCGAGAGAAGAGAGGAGACCGAGGAAAGAGTGCGAGGATAGTGCGCGACTGGTGGATCCGAGGAAAAGCGGTAGAAAAATACAAATGCCGATCGCCGATGGAATTTTGGCCGCTGAATCGACGGCGGCGGCGCCGACGACGACGACGACGACCCACCACGTATCCTTCACCACTGGCATGTTACGTTTCATCGACAGACTTTCAGGTTAGTGCGAGATTGTACACACAATTTGTTACACACGAGTATAATGACTAACAATCTGCATCCGCATGCAATTACAACTTAATCGCATCGCGACTTTAATCGGCGCCAAGTCGCATAAGTCGTGCCCGCGACAGTTTCGCACGAACGTTTCCATTCCCGAGGGGGGCCTCCCCCCCTCGAGACCGGACGCGAAACGGTCTTTCTCTCGCGACTTCCACACCGACACCGACGAACGGAGGTGTCGTCTGATCTTACGCGCCTGGAATTTTTGTCCCGGCATTTTTATAACTTTTTTACGCACCTCTCTCAGTGTTAGTCGCAGCCAGCCTCTATCGCGCAGCTCTTTTTTTTTTTCTACGAAAGATATTTCTAATGTTGAATTCGGAGCACGAGTCGAAACGCTTCGAAAGAACAAGTATAATCGCCAGGAGAGTTGCATGGTAATTAATATTGTGCCGCATGTGTTGCAAAAGTAGAGAGAAAAGCGTATCGAGATTTCATATCTTTTAACATTTTTAAAAACGTCAGCGTTTTTTTAGCCGTCGTTAACAATACAATTGTTATTCCAGAGACGCGTTATTATTATCTTTGGGAAATTTTGTAGATATCGGTACGGCGAGAGTAACATTTTTACGAATCGTCAGCTTTTAGCTGTCGTTAACAATACAATTGTTGTCCAGAGATATGCGTTATTATTATCTCTGGGAAATTTTGTAGATATCGGTACGGCAGGAGAGAGGTATACACGATCTCTACCGCGCGGTGTTAAATGTACGTGTATGTAGCGAGCGGAGTAGACAGAATAAAAAAGGCAAGACCGTAGACGACGACGCTGTAGTGTGACTTGTGCGAGACGGTGTTCCCATACGTCTAACGATTCATTTCTTTTTTTTCTTCGACCTTCCTTTACTCGGATACTCCTCGCGATGTAACACGGCGCCGGCCGTCGTCGCGTTTTCTCACATAATAAGTAAAACGGTCCGATTCGAATGTGTGAGAGCGTGATGATGACCGGTGCATCGTATCGTGAATATCCGAGGAGTAATGAGAAAAAATATATTAAGAATGAGATGTATAATTTAACATAAATTATATTAATATTAAAAACTATATTAAATATATCCGCGAATATCCAAGGAGTAATGAGAAAATATATTAAGAATGAGATATATAATTTGATATAGTAGATTATATTAATATTAAAAACTCTCTCTCTCTCTCTACATTAAATATATAATTTTTTAATAAATATATCGGTAAACGTATTAACGCAGAAAGCGGGGAGAGACGTATGTAGACACGCATATATGTACAAATGTCTCTATGTGTTCACGTTTGTATGTGCTGTGTGTATATTACGCATACACAGCAGCAAGCAGACAGATGCCGGATAGAGAGAGAAAGGAAAAGAAACTGAGAATCTTTCAAAATTCGTAATTTAATCGAATAATTCTGTAAAGGGAATAATTCTGTGTATATAACAAAAAGAAATTAGTCTAAATTGTAAAATAAATATTTTTCGTAGAAAGTTTTGTTATTTAAGAGAAATGGTTATAAAAATTTGCCATGCGAAAACGTTTTCAAGGAATCTACATAAATCTGAAAAATTTTTAAAAAGCAATTTTTATTTTTACGAATAAATAAAGACACTTAATTCATCAGAAAATGTTACATATAAAATGTTTGCAACATGAAAAATAACATTAGAATGTATAGGAAGAATAATATATTAAGAAAAATATAATTCTGCATCTAAAATAAGTAATACTTTCACGTTTTTTCTGCAATTCCTAATTTGACAAAATAAAATTGTTGAAAAGTAATTATAATCTTCTTATTTAGATCGTGTTTTACATTGAAAAGACGAAAGGCGATAGTAAATTATATAATAGATCGAATACTTGGTACAGTTTTAGTTATTTTCGAGAAAATTCTGAGAGAAGAAATCTGTTCGCTCATTAAAATTTAAATTATAATTTTTACTTATTGTTTATGTAGAATTATCCTATTTTAGATCACGTATTTTGGAATATATTGGAATTGTATGTATAATCGCTCTCATATATAGTCGTAACTATTAAAATTTAAAAAAAGGAAAATTTTTATTTCCTCGAGATATTATGGATTCCTTGTGTTCGTTTCTTTCGAAAAAAAATGTGCGATATTTTCTAGTATATTTTTGTTAAAAAAAGTATATATGCATTAGAAACCAGAAAAATAAATTTAGAAACATTTTCTATGAGCCAATGTACTAATTGGCTTAGTTGGCATTTATTATGAAAAATTGATTTATAAATTATTAGACAATTTGCTGACTCAGTAAAAGTATCCGTGAAATAATATAGTTGCACAAGATTAGTTGTGTTTGTTTTGCTTATCTTACTATCAGTATCTGCATTATTTATTAAATTATCACATATAGTATTATTAATTGTTTATTTCAGGATTTGTATTATTCTTTTCCGAGTTATCACGTATAGTATTGTTTATTTTTATTTTCTATATTTATATTATGACTAATATTTGTGTCAGTACGTATATAGTATGTAGAAAATTAATGATAATTAAGAGAATATACATAACGTACGAAACACAAAAAGTCTAAAATGAATTATTAATCATATTTTATTTGTCTATTCTACGTATTAATGGTTTTTAAAAGTAAAATTAATTCTTAAAAAGAAAAAATTATTTGTAAGAATTAAATATAAAAGTATGTATTAAAAATTGCTAATCCAGAACGATTCATTACTAATCCACGGAACTTTAATGGTCAGTGAATAATATCATTTAACAATAAGTTAAAAATAACCTTTGAGCGACGCACATTTCAAAAAACATAAGGAACTACGACGTAGATTAAATTATTTAATATTTAAAAATATTAAAGATAAAATGTATATATATATTATTCTTCATTACTATTGATCCTTTATTACAATAGAACATTCTAACATTAACAAGATTAACTCGATAATAAAATGAACAGAAATGTAAATATTTTACTCCAGCGCGTGCGAACGATAATTTGAAATTTTCGCAGATATATATGTGGAACTATTCCCGATAGCACATAAATTATTGCATGTGTTTAATGCTGGCATTAATTTATATCGAAATAACGCGACGAGTACAAGAAGAGAAACTTGTTAACCGATTATTCAGATCAGTGCGCGTATCGGACTGTAATAAGTAGAAGAGAACGAGTTTCCGATCCTAAAAAGAAAATAAGAGAGACGTATTTATATGCCAGCATAAGATTAAAATAGAGAATTGTAAGATATAAAGATATCATTGAAAAATATAGTAATTACGATGGGCGATTAATTATTACAAAGTAAATTGCGAGTTCCAAGTTTAGAGTTTAATTAATTATCTCGAGTAGAAATTAATTTTACTCTTATCACAATTAAAATGAAATTGATTACCTTTTAATGTCTATAATATTCATATTTTTTACAATTTTGATATTGGCTTAAACTCTCTTCATCAAGCTTTTGATGAAGCGTGCACTCCCATAAATACATCACTCTTGTGTTTCGTCATTTGATTAAGCTAACTCCGAAAAATATATATAAGAATGAAAAATTAATAATAATGAATCTTTTTAAAAAAGAACATTACTTTTGAAAATTTTTAAACAATTTATATAAAGATTCAAATTTCTTTGAATATAATTTGAAATAATTTTTAATTTTTTTTAATTGAAACTCTTGAATCAAAATTCTAATATTTTAGAAACGTTTGAATATAAACAAATATAAAATTTTAAAGAAAACGTTCAAAATTATAAAAACTAGGATTGTTATCTACGTATATAAGTATACATATAAGATTGAACGATATAGGGGGGTTCAGTATATGTACATATGATTATGTCGATTATATATTTGAAAGATTCTCTTAATCAATGATTAAACCTTCCTTCTATTTACGTCAGTTTCCTGTCTAGAATATTCTACTATGTGTCATCGTTCAATTACGCAAATAATTTATCTTTTTCCGGTTATTAAATTATTCGGGCAGACAGATAAAACATTGATCACTTTTATTTATCTTTTTATTCGGAGTTGTTGCAAAAAAAATTACAATAAGAATGTAGATTCTGCATATATATCACTATGACACATATCTTCAGTATTTAATCGTTATAGTTAAACGATAACGTAAAGTCAATGCAAAAATCCTTATTGATTTTTAAAACTTAGCAGGTTGCTTCGGTATGCAGATAAATAAATCGATAAAGATGCACATACATGCAGTTAAATCGATCCTTCCGAAGCATCGCGTGACCGACCTTGATTTCATCAAGTTCTCGTCGCTCAAAGGTTATTCTTTAGAGCTGCGCCTACGCATTTATATGCATATCTCTGCCTCCCCGCATTTCCCAATGCAAAAGCAAGTAACCTACAAGTAACAGTGTAATCGACAATCGAGAAATCGTGTTTGAGCCGACGCGAGGCATATAACGTGCCTATAAGTATTTCCGGCTGTTCGAAAGGTATTTTGATTATAAAACAAATATGCATATATTATTTTTACATTTTCTAATATTAAATGAATATTATAATAATTATTTAATATTAAAAATAATGTTATAAATATGTGCAAACCCATTTGATCGATTTTAAAAGAATAATACAAGATAATTGTTCTTAATTCGATTATACATTGATTAACGATATATTAATTAGGATCATTCGATCGTCGTCTGTCATTCTTCTTCTCTCTTTATCGTCTCTATTTTATACGAAATATTTACACGGTTTTTCTATGAAATGTTAAATTATATTCAAACGCAGCGAGTAGAAAATGTAATAGTAAATCCGATCACTTCATTAATCCGTCAGCCGGATTAATTGACTAGTACTGTCGGATGTAGATATTTGCTTCATAGCGGCTTCATAACGAGCCGCTTGATGTGCAAGGACGCCAATGGGGAAGGCGGATGGGCACACAGGAGGGTGCCGGTGCAGTTTGGGATAATATGACAAAGATCG